AGTAACTGGTGTTGGTCGAGCTTGAGGTCTCGAGAAACACCCACTGTGTTTTGTTAGACTATTGAACCGCTGTCGCTTGTGGGAATTACATGATATGTTTATGTGTCTAAGCCGCAGAGGTACATTGATTCAGGAAAAATGATTTGACTGTTGAGGTATTGTTGGTTTGGGTTGATGAACGAGAAGCATCTTCGAAGTAAAAGGATTCCTTTGGAGGACGTAATATGGGGGATTAGGATGCGAGAGTCGCATCTAGAGTTATTTGAATCAGGTGACATTTTCGAGGACGAAAATTTCTAAAGTGGGGGAGAGTTGTAACGCCCCGATTTTGATTTCCGTAATTAATTGTTGAGTCCTTTGATTTAATTGAGTGATTATTGTTTTAATGGTGGAGTTGGACTATCTAAAATGTTTGGTGTGCATATTATGATATTCTATCATTGGTGAATTTTGAGAGTTTAATTGAGTAATATTTGAGATATTTCTTAATTGTTGTTTAATTAGATGCTTTATGAGAAAATGAGTTAGTAGATGTTTGGAGAGAAAATAATGGAGAGAATTGGAGTGGAAGGATATAAAAGAGAAAAATAGAAAGAAAAGAAAGTAGTGGTAAGAAAAGAAAAAGAAAATGGGAGAAAGAAAGAGGAAGAAGAGAAAAGAGGAAACTTGGAGAAATCATCAAGAATCGACTTCAAGCTCCGATTAATCGAGGTAAGGGTGTGAAACTTCACTATTCTATCAATATGTATGATTTTGTTGGATCATTTTGGATTGATTGGTAGATTTTCTACACTTTTCCATTTTAGGTCGAATTTGGTTTAATCGATAGAAATTGTTGTTTAACGGTTAGAATCGTGATTAGATGATGTAGATTAGTCAATATAGGTTGGACTAAGGCTACTGGAACAACTTTGGATTTAATCGGGCAATTTAGATGAGTTCGGAAGCGAGGGAACAGAACTGAATGTTGCTGTTCGTAGGCGGCTCGCTAGGCGAGGGCGCAGCGAACGCTCGCTAGCAGCTCGCTAGGCGAGCGTGTGGCGAATGGTCCCAGACTTGGGACAGTGGTGTTTTGGTCTCCTTCGCTGGCAGCGAATGGAGTAGCGAATGGCTCGCTGGGGGTTCGCTGTGGCGAACAAGGTAGTGAACGAAGTCTGGAACTTCTGTTCTTGCTCGTTAGCAGTTCGCTAGGCGAGAAGGTGGCGAACGTTCGCTAGCAGCTCGCTAGGCGAGCGTGTAGCGAACATAGCAGAATGAGTTTGCTCTGCTGTTGTGTGCTGTCGTGGTTTGGGGTTCCGATTGCGATCGACCATTCCTTGATTTAAAAGCTCGTATGCTGGTTCGTGATGTGGTGTGGGTAGCCGAATGGCGTGAGTCCTAGAGATCGATTTTTATCGTGGATTGGAGGCCGTTTGGCAATTTGATGCATTTGTCCGAATTGAATGGAAATGCATGATAGTTTAGCATGAAAGTACATAGATTGTAGGTACCCGTGTGAGGTGAATAATGCATAGTAACGTATTTACGAATATGTATGCAAGTAGAGAAATGTTGTGAGTCATTTTGCATAAAAGGCATTATGATGGACATTCTAGAGTTATTTGATCCCTTGGAGGATTTGCAGAACCTCGCTTGATGCGATGGTTATTTGATCCCTTGGAGGATTTGCATAACCTCGCTTGATGCGATGGTTATTTGATCCCTTGGAGGATTTGCATAACCTCGCTTGATGCGATGGTTATTTGATCCCTTGGAGGATTTGCAGAACCTCGCTTGATGCGATGGTTATTTGATCCCTTGGAGGATTTGCAGAACCTCGCTTGATGCGATGGTTATATTTGATTCCTCGGAGAGTCTGATAAATGATAGATTCATAGGAGAATCTGAGTAATTATAGTACAACCGTATAGGTGTGAGAGGAGTGATTCCTAGGAGAATCTGACGGACGAATGAGTCGATACCGTATTCGTATCGGCATAGGGTCGTGGAGTCAGTCTCTATGAGTTGTATAATTCACTTTTATATGCTGCATTGGTGAAATAAACATGTAGGTGAATGTTTGTGTGAAACGGTAATGATTGGTAAATATGAGAGTAATATAAATATTAATGTATAAGTGGAAGAGTTGTACCTACTAGGGTTGAACGACAATTTGTCGTTCCTAGTGGAGTAATTACCGGGGTAGAATAACTGAGGTGTTATTCCTGGTAGAGTATAAGTGACATACCCACTATCACAAAATGGGATTAGTGATAATGAGTGAGTTTTAAGTGAGTTACATGGTATGATTATGAGTGTTATATAAAATATGCATGTGAATATGAATTGTTGAATGATGGGTGATGAATTATACGCTCGCAGTTACTACTTTATTTCATGTATGTAGTTACCAATATATATATCTTGATCATGTTTTCTCACCCCTTTGTTGTTGTGGTCTGTGCTTCTTCGGAAGTACAGATAATCCAGGTACTTAGCTAGCTTGGATTGTTGGTGTGCCAGTCGAGTCTAGGATGCTCTGATACGTAACACGGGACTTGGGTGTTTTGTTATTGTCTGTTGAACTTGTATTTTATTTTCTTTTCCTGTGAACGTATCAAACCTTTTGTAATGTTTTACTATCTGAACATTCCGCTGTATTTTGAAGAAAACCTTTTTTTTATAAGGCAATGTTGGATTTTGATAATGTGATATCTCAATTGGGAGGTTGTGACTCTGATGTTTATTTATAATGTTTATTATTTTAATTGTTTTGGGAAGTGGGGTGTTACACTTGGGCTGTTCACATGTGGCATAAATTAGGTTTAACCAAGTTAAACTAATTTCCATAATTCAAGGAGCTTTCAAATAGGTCATAGGCGTTTCAGCACTGCCTAGTATTTCATCTGAGATAACTCAGAACCCCTATCAGGTTTCCTGAAATTTAACCTGAGCTTACTCATGCATTATACCAGAAAACCAACATGCGTCTTTGCTGTCAGCTACCTGATGTCATACGCTTGATGTTATGACTTCCAGCATGACTTCCATTTTTCTGCAGATTCTTCTTTACACAAGTTATGTCTTCACTCAATCTTCTGCAGAATAACATTAGAAACAAACATAGTAAAGTTTTTTAAAAGGTCTCCAAGATCCTTTTATGAATACCAATACAATTTGTACTTTTTTCTAATAGATCTTCTTGACATTTTCACTGATGAGGTATCTTTAACATGGTCTCATCAACTCAAATCAACTTTGTCAAGGGATATACACTAGCAGCTCCTTCTGGTGTCATGATATTCAGTATGACATCCATGACAATAGTTTTTGTCTTCAACTCCTGTTGCACTAGACAGCGACGTCATGACATCAGTAATGACATCCTGTTTAAAACACATGATAGCAGTACTGTCATCAGCTCCTGCTAGCTCCTACTGCACCATCAGTGCATACTCATGTTTTACCAAAATTTAGCCAATCATATAACCATGGAATCATGGAACTAACACTTCACAATATCGTTCGCGTCAAAAACGTTATTATGGTCTTTACCGTAATGATCATACTCATGCTACTCATACTATTAATCAACACAGTAAAATAAAAGTGATATTAGTGAATATCAAATTACAAGACTATGTCAAAAATTTGCTCATTGATAGATGAGTATCCTATATAGAGATTTGAAAATGTTTTATCAAGACTCACAAATAAGAAATCAAAGATAACATCAATATTAAATCAAAGCTAGTTCACAATACATAAATTAGATGAAATACATAAGATATCAAAAGATTACATCCAAACCCAACCAGAAACTTTAAAATTTTAACAAGTCTAAATGTAAATGTCATATTCTTCAACATAAACAAACAACACAACTATAATACCAAAAACTTAAAACAAACACATTGAAGTAAAACCCCAAAAATCAAAACTTTATTCATAATGAGAAACAAACCCCTATGTGCAAAACTTACCTTATACCTTTAGAACCCGACTCCAATGACAATGAGCAATACAAAATAGAAAAGAATGTATTCTCTATGTTTTACAATAAAAACTTTCTAACTATGAGTGAAAATAAAGAACGAAATAGAGACCAATTAATGTCTTCAAAATAAAGTGTTTGTAGTTATGTGGAAAACGAATATTAGAGTTTGAAGAAATGATGGTTGTTTTAAAAGTATGTCTACTACATGCCATGTTAATCTTGTTTTAATTTTAAATAAAAAAAATTGTTTCTTTAACCAATAAGTATGTGGGCGAAATCTGTCCCGCCCTGCCCTCGACCTGTTTTAAAAGTGGATTAGGCAGGACCGAGCAACTTAAGACACTAAGTCGAAAATTTCGCTCAAATCCGTAAAAAATAATAGGTTAAACAGACGGGTCCGTCGGTCTAACCCATTTTGCCACCTCTGGCCATTCTCATTGACTGGAATAAAAATTCTCTAGATTTTTGTTCATCAAATACGCATAATATTTTCCACAATTTTTTTTTATAAATTTTTTCTTTTTTGCTTTTGCTATATGAATAAGGAGAATAAAAAATCTTATGAAAGTATATAATTATGTTGCATGAATTACATACTTCAAACTGTAATATATATTTACAATTAAAACATTTGTTTTTAAATACCATTTTTATATAATATATATAGTTTAAAAAATTGATTCTATGACCTAGTATATTTAATGAACAAATACAAGTAATAGGATCCTTAATATATAAATATAAAATAAATACAAGTGTTAGTAAAAAAAATTAAATTAAATTAAAATCAGAGTAAATATTTTTTAACTAATCTAAAAATTTATTTTCTCAAAAAATTTATTTTGAAAGATTTGGAATAGAACTTTATATATTCAGAGTTTGTCCAAGAGAGAGGAGAGGGGTATTTCAGTAATCTGCAAAAAAAAACTTTATATATATACTAGTTTGAGAGTGTGAGGTTGAAACCCTCAGAAATCAGAACCCTAGCTGCTATAACGTTCTCTGCGGCGACGGTAAGAGCAAAATGGAACAGGTTCAATGCTTCGGTAGGAAGAAGAACGCAGTTGCGGTGACCCACTGCAAGAGAGGCCGTGGTCTCATCAAGATCAATGGTTCTCCGATCGAACTCGTCGAGCCTGAGATTCTTCGTTTCAAGGCGTACGAGCCAATTCTCCTTCTCGGAAGGCACCGTTTCTCCGGCGTTGATATGAGGATCAGAGTGAAGGGAGGAGGTCATATTTCTCAGATCTATGCTATTAGGCAGAGTATCGCGAAGGCGTTGGTGGCGTTCTATCAGAAGTACGTTGATGAACAGAGTAAGAAGGAGATCAAGGATATTCTTGTTCGATATGATCGTACTCTTCTTGTTGCTGATCCTAGACGCTGTGAGCCGAAGAAGTTTGGTGGACGTGGTGCTCGTGCTAGGTTCCAGAAATCATACCGTTAGATTGTTTTATTGCATTTACTTTCTCAGTGGTTTTTTGGTATTTATGTTGCTGTGACTTTTTAATTGAGGTTTGATTTTGAATGGGATTATCAAAGATTTTTGTTATGTTCTTAATTTATATTAATAGATATGTTTTGACTTGAATTGCGTGAATTGGTTTTTCTATTTGGATGATGTTTATAATCTTGCTATGGATAATGATATTAGGGTTTGAATGCTAAGTATTGAATATATTAGGGTTTGAATGCAATTTGTTAATTATTGAATGATGTAACTTTGTTAATAAGCTAGAATGGATTGAGTTTTTTGGTTGACTGTGATTCAGTTTAACTCATGATAACCATTAATCTGAATATTAGTGCATAACGATGATATTGGGGAATTGAGGCTGAAGATAAAGTTTGTTCTTTTTTGAGTATTATCTGTTGTTTTCTTCGATGTGGTTCTTTGGGAAGTATAGGCTTGATCAATATAACGTGTAACCCAGCCCACAAGCTCATTACTTCAATTATGAGAGTAGTTTTCAAGAAACAATCATGTTCATGTGTATTTGATCTTGTTGTAATGTGTTTAGTTTGAGTAGTTTTTGCTCAACCGTCCCTTAGCCCGGTGCTTGTAACACACTATGGGATCTCCATCTTGCTGGAGAATCTTTGCTTTTAAGAATTGAGAATATTGTTTGCTTTTAAGTATATTAGTGTAAGTGTCTAACCCAGCTACCTAGCTGCTTAAATATCCCCTATTGCCACTCCAATTTGGAGAGAATTGCGATTACTCTCATCCATTGTTCATTGCCACACACCTTCGTCAATTTGTTGTGGCTTATACTGTAACCTCTATGATACTTTTGTTTACAATGGAGAATTTACTAGAATTTAAAGGTAAATGATGGTTTATTTGTTGTCTTTTTTTTTGCAAAAAGTGTGTGTTCTAGGATAATTTTTGCAAATAGTGTGTTCTGGGATTTCAATACTGCACTGACCATTAGAAAATTTATGCCAAAAATATTTACAATATTGTGTTATGAAATCAGGATATAGGGGCTTAATTGAAAGTTTTGTATACGGCAGATTTGAAACTTTTCTTTACCAACAAGTGCTTGCACTTAGGGTGCTATTTCTCACCCCAATTCATGCAATTCTTTTGTATGAAATAAAGGCATTTTTCTTAGTTTATGCGATGATTGAAAACTAATTCTGTGGCTGTGCTCATGTTGAATAAGAATGCGGAAGTGATTAATGCTGCCTAGACATTGTGATTATTCAATTCCCAAAGAACATGCTTGTTCGAGCCTAGTCTTGCACCACAGTGCCATGGTGTAGGACAACCTATAACCTTGTGGGTGGCTTTTAGAAATATATTCATGAATGCAAATCCAAAGAAATTGTCTTTTCCTTTTAGTTATATTCATGCTAATGATCCTTCTGAATTACTTTATGCTGACTTGTAGGACCCTTATTCAACTGCCTCTATTATAGGCCAAAAATACTTTTTAACCTTAGTTGATGATTTCACTCTATATACATGGGTTGTCTTTCTTAAAACCAAATATCAAACCAAAACTAGCATCATTAATTTCATAGCCTACATTGATAACCAATTCAAAACAACCCTCTGGTTCTTAACATTTGATAATGGCACTAAATTTCTCATTCTTACACCTTTTCTTTCAACCAAAGGTATCCTTCATCACAAATATTGCTCTGAAACTCCTCAGTAGAATGGTGTGGTGGAAAGAAAACACCAACACATTCGAAATGTATCTAGGTATTTCTATTTTCATTCTAATACCCCACTGTCTATGTGTAAATTTTGTGTTCAACATGCCCATTCACATTATTAATAGACTACCCACACATTTGCTCGAATCTAAAAGTCCCTATGAACTCCTTTTCGACACACATCCCTCATATATTCATTTAAAGGTTTTTGGTTGTTTATGTTATGAAACCTTCATACAAGCACATAAAACAAAATTTGATTATAGGGCTATAAAGTTTGTGTTTATAGGATACCAAGGAACCAACGGTTTTGTTTTATACGGTTTGTCCACACATAATATTTTTATCTCTAAAAATGTCATTTTCTATGAGTCTTCTTTCCCTTTTAAGTGCCCTACTAAGCCTGGACCTATACCCTATAATCTATCTCATCTCATCCCTCTCCTAGATGACATTATACTTCTTTCTACTCCAACATATCCATTCCTTTTTGTTCCTAATGCTGAGCAGACTACAATTTCTCTTAATAACCTGTCACTATCTTCACATGATTTCTCAGACACATCTCACACAGCTCCTACCTCTGGCCCCTTTCAATATGACATGCCTTTATCTGTTGTACCTTCTCATGCCCAACCTGCACTCACCTAGTCCTTTCCTACTAGACAATCCACTAGAATTTTTCACCCTCATTCCTACCTATCAGATTACCACTGCCTCCAACTATCTACAACCCTACCATATACCTTCCCTCCTCATGTACCTTACTCACTTTGATCTATTCTCTCTTATCACAACTGCCCACTTTCATATAAATCCTTTTGTTGTTTTATATCCTCTAACCTTAAACCAAAAACATTTCTCCAAGCCAACAAACTTGACTATTGGAGACAAGTCGTGACTGCTGAATTGCAGGTCCTTGCTGATAACAATACTTGGTCTTTGGTTGACCTTCCTACTAGTAAAGTTCCCATAGGGTGCAGATGGGGTATATAAATCAAATATACCACTAATGGTTATATTGACGGGTACAAGGCAAGTTTAATTACCAAAGGTTATTCACAAATTGAAGGTATTGATTACTTAGACACTTCCTTCCCCGTGTCAAAGATTACAACTGAAACACCCTTCTACCCCAAAAAACATTCACGATAATTAAAAACAATTATATCAGAGTACATTACCACAAGGGTGCCACATTTCGTTATAAAACTTCATAATAACGTCATGCTCCATAACACGGGTTATGTCAACATGAATTAAATTAAATACTACGTATCGGAAAAATAAAATCTTAACATAATTCATAACTCAAACGCCTTAAGACAAGAAACTCATAGTTTCATGATGTCAATAACAAAAGAGCATAATGGTTCGACTCAAACGTCCCGACCCGATGCTATATATAAGAGAAAGACCCTCTAATCAACAGAAATGACCAAAATACTTCAAGGATAATTCTTCACGTACCAAGAGAGCTAATCCTAATCACCTGCATGTTACCCATATGGAGGAAACATTCAAACATGCATGGTGAGTAATCACAAATCATTATACAAGATATAAGGATAGGATATATTAAGATATCATTCATCTTACAAAAACAACATCATCATGAAATCCATGCATCATTATTTTCCAAGTATTATACTCACACTTTCACATCATAGTATCATATATACATATTCATTCATAAGGTCATCAAATCAACAACTCATCACCAAAACATCACTTAAGTCACAACATTATCATACATCATTTTAAAATCACCTCATCAATAATAACAGCCATTCACATAGATACAATGCCACATAACATGAAATGCAATAATATAGGCTCATGCACGTGGTACCAAATCAACACGTCGATGGACACTGGACCATCACCCTATTAAGATCCCCACCAATAGGATTGATTATACACAAGAACCAGAGCACAACATAAACACCTCAATCCACACAATGGGATTGAAGCTAACACTGGACCAGAGTCCTATCAACAACATTAAACCGAAGTCCTACTATGCTACGAATGCATGATACGCTACGTCATAATCAAGATCATCACAGGATCATCAAGTTGCATCATCATTCATGAAAATTCATCAAAATATCATGGTATTATATCATCATTATGCATCACAAGTCTTCATATTAATTCACAAATCAACTGTTATACTCATCAAAATGAAACACGTCAACCAATCAAGGCATGTGAACAACAAGGCACAAGACAACAAAAGAAAAGAAAAGAAAAATAAAACTATTGTTCCTGCTCGCTTGGTGCTCGCCCTACGAAGCAACTCGCTCACCTAGGTTTTTCCCGGCGAAGCAGGGGTGAATTCCTTCCTTCATACAAAAATTAGGAGCACTCATATTTTCAACATCTTCTCACTTCCACTCTCGCTTGGCGAGGCTGGGGCGAAATTACTTCGCCCAGCGAAATGAAAGTTCGCCTGACGAAACTGCACAAACCTGCAACTTCTCAATTGCGATTTTGCATCATTTCATACCCAAACTGGCTTGAGATTTCAACACAATTCAGTCCAAAAATACTCATCAATTACGATGAAATCAACACAATAACAATAACACATCATAATAAGTTTCACGCATATCATCTCATACCCAAATTTCATCATAAATCCCATTATTCTCCAAAATCCCCAACTACCTACATACATCTACCCTTATATCAATTATAACGACAAATGCTACTCCTTATACCTTCGATAATTCGATTCTGGTTCCTCCTCTTGAGTTCTTCTGAAATCCCTCTGAGCCCTGACTTCCTCTTCTCCTTTTCCTCAGAGCTCTTTCCCAATTTCACGATCGTACCAAAAAAATTAATTTATCCAATCTCTCTTTTTCCTTTATGTAACTCTTACTCCTTGGATCCTTAATGTGATTTTCCAACTTTACCCTCACTTATTTCACCCAATTTACCATCTTACCCTTAGTGTTTCAATTATTCATTTAAAATAATAATAAGATATTCACATTATCCACTATTATTATCATCAAAATAATTCTAATAAATTATTTACTTCTAAATATTCTCAACACCCTCTTAACATCAATAATACCCCCTAACACAAATCACCAGACATCAAAATATTTCATCAAAATTCACCAAAAATCACGAATATTTCTAATAAACAAATTAAATAAATATTCTAATTATTTTGGGGTGTCACAACTCCCCCCCACTTAAAGAATTTTTGTCCTCGAAAATTACCTGAAAGAAACAAAGTTGGATACGACTCTCTCATATGATATT